AGGGTCCGTGTCAAGGTATCTTGTTAACTGCGATTGCAATTGATCCCAATAACAAATTATTTCCTTTGGCGTATGCTGTTGTTGGGAGTGAGACACGTAAGGCATGAGAATGATTTTTCATGCTGCTGAAAGATGATCTAGATATAGAACATGATGAGTCGTATACATTAATATCAGAAAAACATAAAGGACTTGTGCCTGCTATGGAAAAGATTTTTCCCGAATCAGAAAAAAGATTTTGTGTACGACATCTTTACGGTAATATGAAAAGTTCTGGATTCAAGGGACTTGCATATAAACAACTTATTTGCATGGTAGCAGATGCAACCACGGTTCCCGAGTTCGATGATGCTATGAAGGAGATCAAAGAGTTAGATGAAATATGTGTAGATTAGCTGGGCGACAAGCCACCTTCACAATGGTCGATGTCTCATTTGGCCACATTTTCGAAGTGTGGTATGACTTTGAACAACTTGTGTGAATCTTTCAATAGTATTATATTGGATGCAAGAGATATGCCAATTTTGCCTATGTTGGAATGAATTATGAGATATCTGTTGTCACGGCTTACAAAACGAAGAGAAATGACACTTCAAAAATGAGAGAATATGCTGTTTTGCCCCAAAATAGTGAAGATCATGGAAAAGAATATTCAAGAAGCTTCATCATGTGTTCCAGTTAAGGGCGATGATTGTACCTACGAGGTGGGTTGTTCCGATGGCAGCAGGTTTGTAGTGAATATTTTGAAGAAGTCGTGTGGGTGTAGAAATTGGGATTTATGTGGAATTACTTGTCGTCATGGAGTGAGTGCCATCTGCAGTCAACAGCTAGATCCAACGGACTTTGTTGATGAAGTATACAGTGTTGAGAACTTCAAAATGGTTTATTCATATTCTATTGGCCCCATGAATGGAGCACAACTGTGGCCGAAAACTGGTTTGCCTCCACCATTTTCACCTATCGTAAAATGCTCTGCTGGCCGGCCTAAAACAGCAAGAAGGCGCGATCCTAATGAGATTATGGAGATGGGATACACAAGGAGACAAAAATGAGATAACAATAGTTTGCCAAAACAAAGAAGACGAGTAACTTGTAAGTTTTGTGGTCTTATCGGTCACACACTTAGGGGTTGTCAACAGAGAAAAGCTCAGTTGTATGAATCAAATTCCACCGCGAGAATTACGCAAGCTACTGAAGAATTATTATCTCAAACAAGTGATATTCCTGCACAACAAGAGCTTCCATCGGGTGAACACGAGGAGCCGCAAAGGGTACAAGCTCCCACAACAAAATTAACGATATGATTTTGCATTAATTATGTTTGAATATACAACTCTTTATGAATAATCTATGAATTTTTCTGCAATAGGTGAGAAAAAGAACTTTGACCCGAGGAAATACACAAACTTGAATCACGTTGGAACGTCACGGGGAATACGACAATAACACATTGATTTTGTAGATTTTTTGAATAGATTGCCATGTTTTGATATATTGCAATGCTTGGACTTGTTTTGAGATTGTTGATATTTTAGTTGCAATGGGATTAAAAAATTTGAAATTCATTGAATTTTATTTTATTTTTTTTGGAAATTTAATAAAATTTGGAATATTAGGTTGTAAAGACATGCAATAGGAGTGAAAATTTGGAAAAACGAAGGTCCACATGGCTGTGTTAAATAACCCCAAGGCCGTGTATACCTTGACATTTGATAGCAAAGGTTGACAAAGAGTTACATGGCCATGTTTATGTGCACACACACGGCCATGTTTAATTCGGAGGTTTCCAGTAAGATACACGGTCGTGTGTCTTTCAACACGGCCGTGTGGAATTCACGTAATTCGAGAAAATATTAGGGTTTCACATGGGCGTTTAGGTGGGCCGTTTTTGTACACGGCCGTCTACGGCAAATTTCAAGTCTTTGACAGGTTCACGGGCGTGGAGATCTTGTACACGGCCGTGTTTCATTTGATTAAAAAATTTTAAACCTCTCTTCCGGTCGAACGTGCAGAGACCTATTTCTATTTCTTCTCCTATTTTTTTCTTTTCCGGCGACGGCGACGACGGATAATCGGCGGACGGGGCGGGCGGCATCTATTTGGGGGAAGTTTAAGTTGAGCTTGTCTTTTTGTTCAAGTATAAGATAATGTGTGAATATATTTATTATTTTTTTTCATAAATTTTCTTATGATTTATTGTTTGTTTGTGTTGAGTTTAGTTGATAAATTATTTTTTGTATTTTTTGTTTGATTTAAGGTATCGGATTATGTTTATATTTATATTTTGTTATAATGATTTTTACTTGAAATTATGTATTATTTGATTTTTTGGTTGCTTTTTGCATGGATATTTTGCGCAAAATAAATTTTTAATTTTGTATTTTATTTTTAATGTAGAATAATAGTGGCTGGGGGTAAGGGTAAGGGCAAGAGAGTTCGACCAGATGCAAGTTCTTTAGCAACTATTGCGAGGGTAAATACAACAAATGATTTTTTAGGTTTTGGTGAATTAGAACACATTGAACGTTACGAAAGATTTAGGAGTAGATCTTTTTCAAAGAGCAAATATATTGATTAGAATGTTTTGACTATGTTGGGAATGCGGGAGGAGGTAGAGGCTTTAGTTTCGGTTGGGGCTTGGGTTCGTTTTTTTTAGATTGTGGAGCTGAGATATAGAAATTTAACTTTAGAGTTTATGTCAACTCTTGATTATAGATCGATGAACTATAATTATGAAAAACCTAAGACTTTGACGTTTAGATTACTAGGAAAGATGTTTTCGATATCATTTGCTGATTTTTCAGTGATAATGGGTTTATATTACCGGGACTTTGTGGAAATGGATAACTTCCAAGCCTTGCCTACTCTTATGCCTATTCAATCTGCCGTGTACTGGTCCCAAATTAGCACCGAAATGGCTTACAATTCTACACGTTCTAAGGCATCGACTCTTCGGTATCCGCCACTCCAGTATATACATTATATTCTAGCTCACTCACTTTCCGGTCGGGGTGAGAGCACTGGGGTAGTTTTGAATATTGATTTATGCTATCTTTGGAATATGCTAGAGCGTCACCCTATAAATTTGGGTTTTATGCTTGCTCGATTTATGATACATCAGGTCGAGGATGGCTGTTTGGAGAAAATCTCTCTTGGTCTGTATGTTAATCGACTGGCAAGGGGCCTTGGGCTTTTAGAGGAAGAGATTGATGATCCGATTTGTGTCATGCAGCCTTGTGGTTTTCGAACGCTGCAGATGATGGGTATGGTTAGGAAGGTGACGAGGGGAGGAGTAGATAGATATGTATTGGTTGATAGGGTTGATGAACCAGGGATGGGGTTGATCAGCTTCCAGGTGATCAGGGTGCGTCAGAGGATTATCAGCCGCACTGCATGGTTCAGAATACCATGCCCATTGACAGGTCAGCCATTGATGACTTACGCATGGATATGCATCTCCGTATGGACGAGTTACAAATGGAGGTGCATCGCCAGATAGACGGTATGCAGTTGGAGATGAGATCTTTATTTTCGCGTATTTTTCAGCATCTCTCCTTTCCTGTTTCACCAAACGATGGTGCTCCTCATGCATCTACACCAAGACATGGCGATGTCACAATTGATATAGATGCTTTGTTTTCGGATCATCCAAACAGAAACGAGGACGAGTAGCTTTCTTATTTTTTGTATTTTGCGTGTAGTATGTAATGATTTTTTATTTTAAGTATGTATTAATCCTTACAGTAATCTAAAGACTGATGTTTAGGTTATTTTTACTAATTTTAATTCAAACTTCAAAATTGGTTAAACTTTAAAAAAATATATATATATTAACACTTAATCTCCAGACAGAAAGATACATGCCCTTATAAAACTTAACACAGCCGTGTAAAATACGAGGGGGATAACAGAAATAACGTCGCAAACATGGCCGTGTCACAACAACACACGGCCGTGGGAGAAACACAACCTGAGTCCATGGCCGTAAACCTCAACACGGCTGTGTTTCATCGCGAGAATTGCCTATTCACATAAACACGACCGTGTTCGTTTTATTCACACGGCCGTGTGTGGACACAGCCAGGAAACATGGCCATAGTCCATTTACATGGCCGTGTTCAATGTCACACGGCCGTGTATGGTGACTGGCAGATGCTGACTTGTATGTTCACGGGCGTGTTTTATGGTACACCGCCGTGTTCGTTCCAAGTCACCTGCCAGCTCAGCTCCGTTAAGTCCACGTCAGCATTTTCTGTCGGTTAGTTGACGGTGGGACCAAAAAAGATAACGTTTGATTATATTAGGACAAAAAATGATTGAGTTTTGTTTATATTGGGACTAAAATTGATAAAGATTTTATATTGGGCGAAAAATTATTAGTTTTGGATATATTGGGACCAAAATTGATAAGATTTTTATATTGGGACCAAAATTGGTAAGATTTTTATATTGAGACCAAAATTGATGAATTTTGGTTATATTGGGACCAAAAATGATTTTTTTTCCTTAAAATAATTGTTTAATTAAGATTAAGAAAATTATAAATTGTGAAATTTAAAATGTGATTAAAGTGTATAATTATATTTTCAAAAAAAGAAAGGACAACGTATTGAGGACGGACCGAAATAAAACAATATGAACATTTTATATCAAACGCAGAAAATATTTTTATACTCAATTGGTCAACCGTGCATCTACCCATTTTATCATTTTAATATGTCCATTAACAAATATACCCATTTTTTTTTATATATAGTAAATGTCCACTCCACTAATATATAAATACCTCATCCTTCGTATAATATTCCACAAATATCATCATATAATAAAATTAACAAATAAACACATCTAATTATAAAATTAAATTAATATCCTAAAATACCTATACACCACACGCCATTCCCCTCGTTACTCCACCCTCCACCCACCACTCAATCCTCTTATTTCCTCACCTATGAGATTCAAAGAAATTTTATTTTCCACTCATCTCATATCACCGTTGTTGGTCCTAATTGCCTACGATGTCTCTTCAACCGCAATCTCCGCCGTCGGTGGAAAGTTATTCTCCGTTGGAATCTTTTCATTTGCCCCGGAGGAAGAGTTTCGAGGGAGAGAATCCTATTTTGGTCGATTGGAAGGAATCGACTAATGGCGACGCCTTGTCGACTATGGATCATGCCGGATCTCGGTTTCCGACGTCGTTGTTGGCCTTGCCGTTGTTCGTCGTGCCCGATTCGTAGACCGAGTTCAAACAACAACTCAATGACGCCTCATCAACGGTGGATCTTGCCGGATCCAGGTTGCCGACGACCTATTTGGCGTTCGACCCATTTGTCGTGGCTGATTCGGAGCCCGAGTTTGAACCAAAACTCACTGGCGCCGGGGTCATTCCCTACTGATCTCTTTTCTATGGCTTTGTCCCGATGAGATTTACTAGAATTGAGAAGGCTCCTTCGAGCAACTTTTCCACTCGCACGGTGGTATTGTCTTTCTTAAAAAATCTACTGCCATGTTGCCCTAAAGTTACCGGAGTTCCGTGAAGAAGATGCAGTTTTCACCGAATGTACATCATTTTATTTCGTTAATTAAACTTAGGATTTGTGTCATTATTCTATAAAATTGGATCGATATGTGATTGTAATTATGTTATTTTCATATGATTGTGTAGGTTCGGTGGAACTGTTTGAAACAGATAGTTCACCAAGCCTCTCTATGGAAGCTTCGATTAAATCTGTAAAGGTATATTGGGTAAATTTTACAACACCCCTTTGTATTTTAGAAAAAATGCATATTATTTATTGCGTAAAACTTTTTAATATTAATGTAAAATTTGCATGAAACATTTTTTTCGTCCAAAACTGACATTTGATTGTAAATATGAACTCAATAATGCAAGTTTCATACAAATAAAAGAGATAAATATTTTAAATAATTTTTTTGAATAATATAAATAAAAAAACAATTGATTAATCTTTTATTTTATAGTTTTTTCAGATAAATTGTCATCCATTTTTTTAAAAAAAAAACTATAAAATAAAGATCATTTATTTATTCAAAAAATTATTTAAAATATTTTATGTCTTTTATTTTTATAAAATTTGCGTAATTTAGGTTTTTATTTGAAACCAAACATCAGTTTTTAATAAGGAGAGTGTTTTGTGCAAACTTTAAATTAAAACAAAAAGGTTTCACGCAATAAATAAAATATAAAATATTTTATACATTTTTACTAAAATATAAGAGAGTGATATATAATTTACCCAATTATATTTCATATATATTGTTGGAACTTTGATGTTTAAGTTCAACATGCTAACTATGGTTGTGATTTGCGAATGTGTGTGCGGCATTTTTGTGGCATTTATTTAGTAGAAAGTATTTTATGTGGGTTGAGATGATGATTAACGTATGTGTAAATTGACTTTACAATGATTGTGTCACTAATACAAAGCTTTGAAGACTTATACTTAATATAATGTCACCTCTTAGCATTAAGTACTTAGAGGCGGATCTATTTAATCAAAGTGGGATCAAAAGACCCCACTTCAATTATATAGACACATATATATTAACTATTTAACTTTTATTAATCAAAATATTCAAATAACAAATCTTAACTAAACATCTATTTCTTATAATTATTTCAAGGATAGTTTTAGTTTGACTTTTTTTTTTTCTGAAACAAATATAATACTAATTAACTATATAAAATATTAATTTTATCTATTCAAATTTTATTTCCCTTTATTTTTATTTTACTCTATTATTTTGTATTCAAACAGCAGCACAATACATCAGGTTGGTGAGCTATTGCAATTGTTCTTCCATCTTTTTTTTTTTTTTTTTTTTTTTTAAGTGTTGAGGTTGCAACGTCTAAAACTTAGATTGTGTAGCCCACATGTTAGAATTAACTTGTTTATTTTATTGGAAAAATAAATTTATATACAATCTCTAACTCATAATTCTATTTTTGTAGGACTATCACAAATTTTTCTATTTTCAAAAGAGGTGATTCTTAAGTCATCTGCCATCGTACCCTCTATTTTTAATTAATTTTTAAAACAAAATAAAAAGTTACCCCTCCTCTCGCACGAGTGGGATTTTGCCTCGCCCTTTCATCCGAGAGGATGACAACCTCAAAATTGCAAGGTGGATTGGAGAACCTATTTTGCAGGGTGAATTGGAGATGTCTTAAGAGGTAAAACAACTGATAATATAATTAGTTATATCGTAATATTTCATTCCTTCTACATATCATGTCATACTTTTTATTTTCGTCAATCTCACATATCATCTCACTTTTTTTTTGGAAAAAAATTATATAATTCAATTACATATTAAAATTTATAATATATATATATATATTTAATTTTAATTATATAATTAGCTATCTGATCTTAATTTATAATTATTTTTAATATATTCTAATTATTTTTACTAATATATTTTTAATTATTTACTAATCATACTCCTTATTAAATATCGTGGCTACAATAATTTGTCATGATATCCAGGATGGAGGAAGTAATAATTTACTAGATTGTGCACCCACTTAAAAATGTGCCTGGTTCCGCCATTGTCAGTGATCTTTTAGAAATGAAACACTCGATGATCATTGTTATGTGAGAGTGCAATGTTGCGTCCCAAAAAAACGATTATGTTATTTTCCTATACTTGATAATAATAGTATAACTTGAGAGTAAAAAATAAGGACATATATTTTCAAAACATGTTGGAAAAAATAATTATGTGAATGGCCCTTCTTAATAATTCCAACAAAGTCACGCCCCTTTACTCGATGATAATGCCATAATCTAAGAGTGAGTCCCTCATTTTAATTCCCCAAGATCACTGTGTTGAAGTTCTAATTACAATTGAAAACTTGCTATAATTATATACCTAGTTTGCAATTGTAAAGAAATTCGATTATACTAGTTTAGTTACCTACAATTACTGATATATTTAACTATACTATTCAAAATGTCAAAGCTTTACAAAAAGGCCATATCTTACTGTTCATGAAATCATTTCATCAATAGCAACAATAAGTTCTTCCATACCTTGTGCCTGTTTGATTCGATGAGTGCGTCAATACATATCTTGATCAACTTTCAAGTTTGCTTGGAGCATGTCTCTTTTTTGTTAGTGTTGATTTTCCAATGTGGGGGATCTTGTAGTTGCTTCCATTGCATATCATGATTTTGATTTAATGTCCCTAGAAGCTTAAGAAAATATTGTTAAGTGTTTTATCGGACAGTTCGTCAAAAGATCTGCTAACCGCTGCTAGAAAATCTTTGACATTATGTGTCGTTGTAACCTAAAGGGATTGTAGTGCTCGAAACAACTCTAATTCATTTATATTTGTATCCAGACTGTTTGGTGGTTGAAACACAATGCCTATGTTGAATCCATTGAAACTTATTGCCGTCCTGAAATTTGGGTTATTATCCTTTATGTGTGGCTTAACGTTGTCTTATTGAATAACAATTTCTTTACTTAAACTTGTTGACCACTTAGCCTTGATTGCGGGGATTACCTACACACATTTACATGATATTAATGAACATACACTTTTGGTTGTAAGACTAAGTAAATGAAGTATACCTTATTAATAATAACATTGTTTGTGACTTTCTTGGCGATTGACTTTAAAGGTTTTGTTTCCATAGTCCCTGCTTGTTGGTTTTTTGAATAATTCTTGGTTAGGACCTATTTAGTAAAATTTATATTATTCCATCAAATAAACAACCCCGTTCTTGATTGTAAACTGGTATGCTCACAGCACAAAAAAACATTAATTTTGTAATGAATTTTTTGCTTTGGCATATCCAATATAGTTTTGGTTCATCTTGAGTAAGATAATATCTTTTTATTGTTGGGAGTTAAATAGAATTATTTCTCATCAATATGTCATGCTCTTGAACTTTATCAAGTTCTAGTCTCTTCATATTTCTACGTCATTGAGACGAAACTTCAATCTATTAATCATATTCCACTTGGTCAGGGAGAGTTTAATTGCATTTCTATGAGCTCTGATTAGCCTCTATTTCACCCAATTTTCAACTGTCGATTTGTCAACATTCATTTGCTTTGTTATGCTACTATAAGATCCCCTCTTGTTATAATTTTTACTTTTCAACACTGTTTCATCATTTTTCCAATAAGCATGTCTACTATTGTAGAATTGTTACAACAAAAACTGAGATATTGTGTTCAACTTATCAAAGTTAAATATTTTTTCATATTTGAAGGTGAAAATCATTTACTATACTTAACTCTATTAAATCTTGTTATAAAGAAATCTGGAAGGGAAATTTTAATTTTGGTTGAAGATAAAAAATAAATGACATTTTTAGCTTTGAGTGAAATTGTTAAGATTTACTTACAATACTCTAATTTGATTTATAGACTTGCTATTAAGTCAAGTCTGGTGTGATGTTTGATGTGTAGAGTTGCTGAGAGGGAAATATATTTTTAGTTGTGGAGAAATTTTTAGAATTCCTAATAATTGTGTTTGTGTTTTCTACAGACTTTGTCATGTTTCTGGTTCAAATCTGATATAAAATGATTGGATCTTGCTGTCGACTTTTAACGTTGGAAACATTTTTGTATAAATGTTAAGGGGTTTAATAGTTGTGCTGTTGCTGGACATATTTTGAGTAATTATTTAATTTTGGAAACACTTAATTTAGTAGTTAATTATGTTCAATACTTAATTAGTTGGCTTTGTATTAATATAAAATTGCAGCTAATTGAATAAACGTTAGAGCTTGAGGGTTGTTCTATCATTACTCTTTTAATATGATAGTATAGTAGTTTTTATGTATGTCAATTGTATTATATATCAATATAATACTAATATATTAAAATTCACGTGCAAAAATCAAATGGATAGATGCGCAGTGGACGGAGGGAGTATTTATTTTTTTTATCTTATATATTACTCCCTCCATTATATAAATTTATGCCCATTTGACCAGGCACGAGTTGTAAAAAAAGTGGATAAAAATATAAACTGTTTCTTTTTATAGTAAAAAAAAATAGAAAAAAATAATATTCTTTCTTTTATTTAAGAAGGGGAACAAAAATGAGTTTCAATGACAACCTAAAGAAAACATGAGAATAAATTTATCATAACTCAACTTACAATTAAGCAACATCTCAATATTCAATTGCAAAATTGAATTTTCTTGCAATACCTCTTAACTTGCAACCAAATTGATTATTTTAATTTTTAAATGTTTCTTCAAATTTAATAATATGTTTTTATAAATATTTATATTTTTGGATATACTTTGTTTGGTTATAGTTTTAAATTAATTTAAAATATTTTGAGTTTTTTATTTAAATAATATTTTTTATGTGATATTTTATGAGATGAAATAATATATTTTTATTAAAAGTTGTGTCAACTAAATATTGTTATTTTTGGTTTGAAATGGTAAGCCATTAAGATGTATTTGGTTGAGATTTGAGGATGAATTTTTATTAGATTTTCGTTTAAATAGCATTATTATTTATTCAAAGAAATAAAATATTTTTATTAAATGTGGTACTATGAATTTGAAATATATTAATTTTAATGGAGAAAAGAAACCAAACAAATCCTTGTTTATTTAGTTTTATATTTTATTTTTTTGTTTTGATTTGAATAATTATTTAGAATTTATGATTTATAACAAAAAAATTGTATTTTTATAAGATGAAATATTTACATAGCAAAAACTAAGCTTTAAGTAAATATGTATTTTCATTTTATATATTTATTCCTCTCATTAATAAATATATATTAATTTATTATTTTTTTATAAATCTAATTTATGTTAATCATCTATACTTTTGGGTCAATTTTATAAAAATATATATTTTTAATGTTTATTTTGTTCAAAATTTAATGAATATCGCTGTTAAACGTTAAAATTTTAAAAACAAATGGTAAAATTTGGATCTAAGTTCAAACTTGAATTTTTATAGCTTGAGAAATAAATCTAAGCTATTACAAGATTAAAAAAAAAAGTACATTATTTAAGAAATATAATACGGTCATTCTCAACAAATTTCTCAAAAAGAAAAAGTGTATTTAGTTGAAGATGAAAACTTGTCTACTTCAAATTGGATATTTATAAGAAATTGATAGAGAAGTTAGAATCAATTATTGAATCGTGGAGAATGTCCATAAAACATATATATTTAGCCGAGGAGGATGTTCATAAAACAGTTTTCCGCTGCCCCAAAATGATCGGTATCTTCGAATGGATAATGATGCTCTATAGCCTCAAGAATGCCGGAGCGACCTACCAGAAGGCGATGAACGCAATTTTACGATCCGATTGGTGCTTGCATGGAGATATACATAGATGATATGGTATTTAAGTCCCAGGCATTCAATCACCACTTGCTGGACCTTCGGAAGGCTTTTATGCGGATGAGGCAGCAAGACCTAAAGATGAACCCGATGAAGTGCGCTTTCGGAGTACAAGCAGAAATTTTTTTGGGTTTTTTAGTTCATCAAAGGGGTATCGAAGTTGACAAAAATAAGGCTAAGGAACTGTAAAGCTTGATGGTGAAGGTCAATTTCCTGATGAGGTTCCTCTTTAACGCCGCCGGGAAAATGAAGGTTTTCTCATTGGTGCTAGTGGGCATAAAGATGTATTCGAGTGGGAAATAACCCAACATGAAGCCCTAGATCAAATTAAGCAAGCCTTATCATCTACCCCGGTGTTAATGCCACCAATCAGTGGAAAGGGGCTGAAGTTGTAAATAGCCGCGACCGACGATACAACAGGTTGTCTCATTGCCCAAGATGATGATGAAGGTCAGGAATGCGCTATTTATTATTTTAGTAAGGCCTTAAATGATGTTGAAATTCGCTATTCGTGCATTGAGAAACTTTGTTTATCGTTATATAGTGCATGCACGAAATTAGAGATTATTTAATGCCTGTTGAGACTAAAGTAATATACAGAGTCGACCTTCTACGCTATTTATTAAACAGGCCAGTCTTTTGAGGCCTTTAGTTAAATGGTGCTGAAACTAGAATCGTTTATATTAATGCACCAGCCCCTTAAGGCCGTGAAATGATAGGCCATCGCTGATTTCTTGGCCGAACATCCTGGGATGCTTCATGCCGTCTCCTTGAACTACGCGTGATTAGACCTTGGCTGGTGACTTTTAATGGGTCCAGCACCTCGGGAGCAGCCGTAGCAGGCGTGGTGATCTCCAGTCCAAAA